GGGAGCCTCATATCAAGACACACTCAAAACTTATATGAATACAACTACAAAATTCTTTATGAAAGTAAAGGAATGGACTTAGAAAAGTATGGAAAGACTTAGACTTTTGAAGGAAGATGCTATCTACCCTCAGAGAAATAGAGGACAAACAAATATAGTACGGTCTTACATAGATGCATATGAATGTATATGTCTATATATGAGTATGATTATAGATATCTAAGTATATGTATGTGTAAGTATATGTGTGTATATGTGTGTGTGTATGTATATGTATGTATATATGTATGTGTGTGTATATGCTTAATGGTAGCCTTCTTGGGGGAGGTGGGGAGGAAGGGGGGAAGTGAACAAAGTAAAAGTGAACAGCAGAGAACAAAAGAACATTTACAAGGAAGCAAAGGAAAGATGGATGACTCTGAACACAATATGTGCTATTTATTATATATTATTAGGTTTTCTTTAAATGGAAATTTATTGCTGTATATTTTGAATCCTCTCACATTCTTTTGTGCACATGGCAATGCTTTTTTTCTTTTCTTATTTTGTATTTGTTTTAGCATTTAAGTTTAAAATATGTTTCTTTTTATTTTCTTGTGTATTTAAATTTTAGTATTTATGTTTAAAATAAATTAATAAAAAGGAAAGTAAAAGAAGACATAATTTTGTTTTGTTGTTGTGTAGTCTTTTTCAGTCATGTCCAACTTTTTGTGACCCCTTTTGGGTTTTTGATTTTTTTTTTTGGCAAAGATACTGAAGTGGTTTGCCATCACCTTCTCCAGCTCATTTTACAGATGAGGAAACTGAGGCAAACAGGGTTAAGTAACTTTCCCAGGGTCAAGTGTTTGAGGCCAGATTTGAACCCATGTCTTCCTGACTCCAGGCCAGGCATTCTATCCAATGTGCCAAAGGCAAAAGATTAGACAATTATTTCATGTTTTGATCAATTATCTCAAAAGTATTTTATGCACTTTGTAGTATCATAAGTCTTTTAGGACTTTGGGGGTTGATTGAAAGGAATGGTAATAAGGGAAGAGTCAGTTGGGAATGTGGATTAGGGTTTGTACATTGGCAGCAGGGATTTAAGAATCACTGGTGTGGGGAAAGTATGAGTGGTGTCATATGTTAACAAATGAGGGATGAGTTTAGACAAAATGCCAGAGGTGTGTTGAGGAAATTGAGATGAATATATTGTTCAAGGTCTCATAAGTATAGCTGAAGAAGTCTCTGGGGACTAAGATGGATGTCAGGAGAAGAATAGCTGGTTCTGGTCCCTGAGTGGCCATCTGGGCCCGGTTCGAGAGATCCCCTGAGGTACTGTCTTCACATACATCCCACAACCCATGAAAAAATAAGAGAATTCTTCTAGAAATTCTTCCAGTTTTTATTTCTCTGTGAGTTCATAATCTTATTTACTCCAAACCATTCAAATTCTAGGAGAACTCCTGTTCTGCAGCTCTGACTCTAGAACAATGAATTCCAGTTCTGATATGCCTTTCTTTCACTGTTGTGTTATGTACATCTGTCCTATTCCTGCCCCCAAGGCTCATTTGGTCACCAGGTTTGGGTCATAAAGTGAGCATAAATAAACTACATGCATATTTATTCTCACTTGTAAAAGTTAAAATTATTTACTAAGGCAATGCATGCTAGGTGATAGGTGAATTTTTTTTCACCCAGACTATATAAATCTGAAATCTTTATTAGAACAGGAGAAAAAAATTTAAAAATTTAAACTGACCAGAGGAATTATGTACTTACAGAAGAGTATGGTTAACTGTTGTTAAGTATGAATGAAGTACGTTAAAGTAATAAAATAGGGCAGAGACCATGCCCCATTCATTGGTAAACCCAGCCTTTTGTAAATTAAATTCCATAGTGTCCACCAAATTAGTTGCTGATATATGCAAAGATGTCAAGGTTAACCAAAATAGGTTCTATAAATGCTTTGCATAGCACTTATTTTGTTGCTTTGAAAGTTCCTCCCTATCCTATTCTTCCACCTTTTAAGTCTCCTGATATCCTTTAAGCTCAGCCTGGCATGGCAAATGCCCTTCTACTTGTCCTCTCATTGAGCAACTACTCCATAGAACAAATGCCCTGTTCAGGGTTTTAGCATCATCCAATTGATAAAAAGTAGTCATGCATAAATAAAGTAATTTCCTTCAGTCACTTTAAAATTGTTCTGCTGGTCTGCAAAAGCTGAAAACAAACAAAACTTGAAGTGAATAGAGGTGGTTTCACTACCAAAATATCAAATATTATTTATTTCTGGGTTTCTTTCCTGCTAGTTCAGTCACAAATTCAGTTGCCCACAGATGGAAACAATGACTACCCTTACCTTTGGGACCAGGTTCAAGAAGTACAGATCTCCCAGTCAAGGATACTAAAGTTATCATCAGTCCTTGGGATTATAAAGACAGAATGAGCATATATAAAATAATTCAACAAAAAAAATTTTTTTTAACCAACTTTGGGCCAGATAATACCAGTAATGAATCCTGAGGATTTGTTCTATTTTTGGGAAGACTCTACATATCAGGTATGAGTATTTTAACTAAAAGTTTTCATTCTTTCTTATAAGCCATAGTGGTCATGAAAGTAAAATTCTAGTGAATCATTGACATATTTTCAGCTTTTTTCAATTTATTGATTAGTCATGCTGACTTTTTTCCCTCTTTAAAAATACTATTTGTCATATGGCATGACTCTTTGGGAGGGGGAAGGATACATAGGATATTATAAGGATGTAAGAAACAGAAAATATCAATAAAAATTTATAGAAAAATCTAGTGAACACTCAGAGTGAATTTGTCTGAATGTTCCTGGGACTATAACAGAATCCGATTTCTGTTGTTCACATTCTAAGCTTTTGAAATGTTACATTAAAAATCTTTTCCCATCTTCCTTACTATATAGTCATATTAGCTGTGCCTTCAAATATTTCAGACCATATCAATGATGTTGATAAACAGACCTCAATCTCAATCAAAAGTGGATGGGGTGGTGAGTATTTTGCAATGCTATGTCTTCTGCTCCTTAGTTCACTAACCTGAGAAGTCTTTCTCTACTCTTGTGAAGAGTGGGTCACATTGGGATATTCCTCTAAAGAGTTTAATGTCTTAAGGAAGCCTTTTAGTTTCAAGGGACTCAAGAGTATTATGAAAAACCAAATGATCCTGTGTTGTAAATTCTCTAAGTTAATAAACAATATACATGCATATAAGTTTGGATAAAATGATAAACATCATATATCTTAGAATAATTACTAAACTATACTCTGTAAATGATTCATTCAATCCTCCTGAGTTTATGGCACTCAATTATGCTTTCCCCTGAAGGTCACAGTATCTCAATGCTTAGAGATTCTGTATCTCCAGGTACCAGGGTTACTGTAGGATGAAATGGTTAGGCCCAGAAAATCTGACTGACTCTCTTTTCAGAGACAGGGATGACCAGGACTACCTCAGTTGACTATATCATATTTAATGGGGGAATCCATGGCAAGGGAATCAACTAGTCATTCACATTCAAGGATAAACCAGTTTTTTAAATTAAGGAATTGTTTCCATAAGCACACAGTTTAATGAAGGGATAAACATATATAGTGAGTCTCTAGCTTTACTTTTACCAACGCAAACATGCTCTAGCATATCAGGTTCTCAGAACTAAGTCAACTACATATACCCTTAGTGTTCTAAAATATCTATTTTCAAGGGGATGTGGGCAGGGTTTCTAACGTTATTGGCTCAAGTCCTATGTTGGTCCATAATAGTCATGTTGTGAAAGACTAACCACAATTCCCTTCATCCTATTATGCTTTCATGTTTATTCTATTCTCTCCTTTGACCCTGTCCCTCCTCAAAAATGTTTGCTTCTGATTGTCCCCCTCCCCCAATCTGCCCTCCCTTCTATTATTCTCTCTCTCTTATACCCCTTTTCCCCTATTTTCCTGTAGGATAAGATAGATTTCCATACCCAATTGAGTGTGTGTGTTACTTCCTCCTTAAGCCAAATCTGATGAGAATAAGATTCATCCATTCCCTCTTACCTCCCCCCTCTTCCCTTCCATTGTAAAAGCTTTTTCTTACCTCTTTTATGTGAGATAATTACCCCCATTATTTTCTACCTTGGAACTGTGAGGATTCCCTCTCCACCACTGCCACAAACTCTGCCATGCCAGCACCTCTCCTCACCCCAGCACCACTACCCAGGACTGTGACCCAGATCCAAGCATGGGCAAAGCAAAAGAATCCTGCTTCAGTGCTAGCAAAGAGACCCCATAATCTCCTTCTGACCAGTTGTTTGACCTCCTTACTATGTTATCTGAGAGCTCCAGAAGCAGCCCCTGCCACTGGCACTGCTGGGGCTGATTTAGTCACTCCCAAGGTCTGCTCCTGGTTTGCTAGGGTGGGGGGCTGTGCTAGCATAACCTGCACTAGACTGTATGCCCTCTCACTCAGGTCTGACATACCTTTCCTGCTGATCTGCTAAGTTGTCTTTGGTGTCTGTGGGCTGAGAAGTCTGGAAACTGCCACTGCTGCCAGTGATATAGTCCCCTAAGGCCTGCTCTGGGTTTGTTGGTGCCTGGTCTGTGCTGGCACAACCCACACTGGACATTGCTCCTCTCTCAGCCTGATGCAATAGACCTTTCCTATTGACCTTCCAGGGTGTCTTGGGCTGGAAATTTGTTTCACTCTGTCTTTTTGTGTGTTCTACTGTTCTAGAATTTGTTTAGAGTCATTTTAAAGGGATTTGGAGGGATTTGGGGGAGAGCTCAGGCAAGTCCCCACCTTTACTCTGCCATCTTGACTCTGCCCCTCAAGTGTTACTTATGTTTAAGGTTTCATTAATTGTGGTGAGCAGGACCCCAGGCTTATATCTAAAATTTGACTCCTTTCTCCTTGAATATCCACAACAAAACCACAGAGAAATTAGCAAGGTAACACATTTATCCAATTCAATAGCAAAAACAAACAACAACAAAAACCCAACACCCAGAAATCAGAAAAAAAAATAAACATAAGAGAATATATACTAGACAATACAGAATGAAGAAGCTCTCTTATTGAGAGCAAGGTAACTCAACTTAACCAAGAGAAAGAGCCCTAGGTTTCACCCAAGGGGAGGTTCCAAAGTCTTTAGTATAGCAAGCTGGAAATTGAGCTTCCAGTTCCTCTTATGTAAGCTTCTTCAAGGAATCTTTTCCTTCAGTAACCTGAAGTAGACTCCTCATCCAACTTTTCTCTTAAACTGAAAGCAAGAAAACAAGGATAAGATAAGTAAAGCGATTAGCTCCAGGTCACTGATCTAGTTAATAGCAAACCAAAAAACTCAAATCACCTACCTCCTGTTGTTCTTGTCCATACACTGCCTAGATATTTTTAGAGAAAAAGTAGTTTTATTATTGTTATATTAATAAACCTCCCATTTATAGTGTTCTTTGAAGATTGTAGAAGAAAAATAATTTTACTCTACCTTGAAGGTAAATCTGTCAGAAGTATTGTTTATTGATTCAAACCTTATTGAAAGAGAGAGGGAGAGGGAAGGAGAGAGGGAGGGAGGGAGAGAGAGAGAAAGAGAGAGAGAGAGATGCCCCAAGTGATGAAGTCTCTTTGTGGTTCTTGGACATGTTGCTACCACTAGATACCTTAAACTAACAATCATAGGATTCCAGAACATAAGAAAGTTTCTCAATATGCCCAAGGTAGTTAAACAGCTCAGGGCTAATGTTGAACTTTGCAAATAGAACAACAGTCACTTAATCTTTCAGTTACTTTACTGGAGAATTATTTTCCTTGAACCACTCAATCTTTACTTCAACGAGATAGAAAGAATTAACAAACAAACATTCCTTCTGATAACTCTAAGGCAATGTTTTCCCCTAAACTATCTCATTCTCTGGTGGAGTAGGCTCAAAACTAAGCTCAGTTCCTACATAGAATAAATCCAACCAAATTAATTGCTAGATGCAGCATATCTGCCAAGTCAATATTTCTGCTGGATGGAGGTTCTGAAGTTCACTGCCAAAGATGACTCCCTGTGCCTCAGGGCATCAATGCTGCACTGACTAAAGAGCCCAGCTTATAACTTCTACTTTCAGATTCACATGGCTTGCATTGTTGATCTCTTGAAACTCCCAAGGTTGCAGAGGCTCTAGAATCTCCACCTAGAACAGAAAAAAACAAACAAACAAAAAAAGGTTAAGGACTGTGGTCCATTTCTCAGGGGGCCATTCCCTTTACCACATGGTCTCTCACTGGACACTGAGAGACAAAGTTACTGAGTTCTCCCAGTAGTAGCTGGATCTGACAAGCCTTCTTTAATGTCTTTCAACTCAATCAGAGAACTTTTCTTTTACTACATGGCTAGCTTACCAGAACCAACTATGAAATGTTTATGTTGGGTCCAGTCTCTCCTTGCACATCATCATGATTCAACCAAGCATCACCAGCACCCTGAAGGATCTGCACAAGTGCCAGACGGCCATTACATTTAAAGAAAGGGTTTAGGCCTAAGAGAAAGAGGGCCAAAGGATTTTGGTAGAAGGCATTGTTTCCTGAGAAGTTTGATTAATTACTGATGAGGTTTCCTACCTTCAACATAGGTCTTTATTGTAAAGACTTTAGAGTAAGAAATATTTCTTTCTTAATAATATCAGTTGAACTAAAAAAAGGAGATCTCAAAATGCTTCTACAAATTTATAAAGCACTTTGCTCACAAATCAGTGGAATAGGTAATCCAAGTATTCTCATACCCATTTTCAGATGAGAAACTTGAGATAAAAAAAGTTAAATGACTGACCAAGGGTTACATAGTTGACATGTCATATACAAGATTTTAACTAAGCCCTTCTACCCATGAGATTAGTACTCAATATATTTGTCTCTTAAATCAAGTAGATATAATCTTACTGCTGACAGGTCCATGATCAAGGGGAGCAGAAATGTGTGCTGTGAAAGATTCAATGCTGGTCCTTAGTCCCAGCTTCCTGGGGAACCAGCTGCTTTCCTTGGAAAATTGTTTCCAAGGAATATTGCTGTCATTACATAAATTCTTCTCTTGGTTCTGCTCACTTTAATCTGCATTATTTCAAACCTCCTAATGTGCTCTGCAATTATTCTTTTCACCCTTTAAAAAAAATTTTTTACTGAACAATAATATTCCATTACATTTATGTGCTACAATCTGTTGAACCATTTTCTAATTGATAGGCACCCTTACTTAGACTTGACTTTACTTTTTTTTTCCCATTTTAGCCTACCCTTCAAAAATCAAGAAGTTTGTTTGCTTGCAACTTTTCTCTTCCTGTCATACTCCTTCTTCTTAACTTCATTGCCTGTCTCCATTCTCACTTGTTTCCCTGGTTAGTCTAGTGTATTCCACACCAAGCTCTCTCTGTGTCTCTCTCTCATTCTCTCTCCCTCCCTCCCTCTCTCTCTCTCTCTCTCTCTCTCTCTCTCTCTCTGTGTTTTGCACACCTTTGTTATAGAGTCAGGTTCTTTTGAAACCTGTTCTTTTTACTTCTTTCTTTGCATTTATATACACTTACAAATTCTTCTTCTCATGTACCTCAGTTATGAAAAATAGCAATCTGTAGCCTCAACTTCATCCTTTCTACACTAGTGTATTCCTTTTGTTCTCCTTTCTCCTTTCCCCTTAAAACCTTCGTGATAGAACCAATCATCCTCCAGGTCTTCTTTTTGTTCATATTCAACTACTTTAATATCTTATGATGATATGTATGAATGTTCTAAAAACACACTTCTTCCCTTTAAGAATGTTAGCACTGCCTCTTTACATTTCTAGGTTTCTCTTGATTCTTGTGTTTGCATCTCAACGTTCCTACTTAATTTTGGTCTTTTCATAAGAAATGCTTTCCCTTTTTAAAAAAATTCGCCAGTGCTTAGCATGTAGTAAGCACTTAAAAATTACTTCTTGGCTTGATTTGAAACTTCTCTTTTTAAAGTTCCATTCCCACCTCTAACTCCCATTATATTATATTTAGCTTTGTAGAATTATTCTTGGTTGTAAAGCCATGGCTTTTGCATTTTGGGAGATTGTATTGAGAACTCCAATCTCATTTATTATAGAAGTGGTCAGGTTTTGTGTGATCCTGACTGTGGTTGCTTGTTCCATTAACTGCTTTTTTCTGGATACTCTTTTTTTTAATAGTATACTTTCCCCAATTACATGTCAAGACAATTTTTAACATTCATTTTTACATTCATTTTGATTTCCAAATTTTTTCTCCCTTCTTCCCTCCCTTCCCCTCTTCCTAAAATGGTAGGCAATTTGACATAGGTTGTTTATGTGCAATCATGTAAAACATACTTCCACATTAGTCAAAGCTGTGAAAGAAGAAACAGATCAAAAGAAAAAGAAACCATGAAAAAGAATAAAGTAAGTGAAAAAAGTATGCCTCAATCTGTATTCAGAGTCCATCAGTTTTTTTATCTGTATGTGGATAGCATTTTCCTTCATGAGTTCTTTTACTTGTCTTGGATCATTGTGTTGCTGAGAAGAGGTGAGTCATTCATAGTTAATCATCACACAATTTTGCTGATACAGTGTACAATGTTTTCTTGGTTCTGCTCATTTCACTTTGCATCAATTTGTATGTCTTTCCAGGTTTTTCTGAAATATACCTGTAAATCATTTCTTATTGTACAATAGTATTCCATTACATTCATATACCATGGATTGTTCAGTCATTCCCCAACTGATGGGCATCCCTCAATTTGCAATATTTTGCCACCACAGAAAGGGCTGCTATAAATGTTTTTGCACATGTAGGGCCTTTTCCCTTTTTTATGATCTCTTTGGGATACAGACATAATAATGGCTGGATCAAAGGGTATGCACAGCATGGTTGCTCTTTGGGCATAGTTCCAAATTGCTCTCCAGAATGGTTGGATCAATTCACAACTCCTCCAACAGTTCATTAGTGGCCCAATTTTCCCACATCCTCTCCAAAATTTATCATTTTCCTTTTTTTGTCATATTAGTCAATATGATAGGTATGAGATGGTACTTCCAAGTTGTTTTTAATTTGCATTTCTCTCATCAAAAGTGATTTAGAGCACTTCTTCACGTGCCTATAGATAGCTTTGATTTCTTCATCTGACAACTGTATGTTCATATGACTATCAATTGGGAAATGGCTTGTTTTCTTATAAATTTGACTCAATTCTCTATCTATTTGAGAAATGAGGCCTTTATCGGAGACACTTGCTGTAGACTATTTCCCTGCTTTCCTTCTAATCTTGGTTGCATTGTTTTGTTTGTGCAAAAGCTTTTTAATTTAATATAATCAAAATGATCAATTTCACATTTCATAATATTCTCTATCTCTTGTTTGTTCATGAACCTGCAACTAACTTAACTTCTCCTTTAAGAATTTGGATGGTATACCACTTGGTGCATATATGTTTAGTATTGATATTACTTCATTGTCTATGATACCTTTTAGGAAGATGTAGTTTCCTTCCTTATCTCTCTTAATTAGGTCTATTTTTGCTTTTGCTTTGTCTGAGACCAGGACTGCTACCCCTGCTTTTTTTTATTTCAGCTGAAGCATGATAGATTCTGCTCCTGTCACTTACCTTTACTCTGTATGTGTCTTTCTGCTTCAAGTGTGTAAACAACATGTTGTAGGTTCCGGTTTTTGATCCACTCTGTTATCCACTTCCATTTTATGGAAGAGTTCATCCCATTCACATTCACAATTATGATTACTGTGTGTTTCCTTCCATCCTATTTTCCTCCTGTTTGTCCTCCCTCTCCTTTCACCCTTTCCTTCTTCACCAATGTTTTGCTTCTGTCTACTGCTTCCTCAGGTTTGACCTCTCTTCTGTCAGTTCCGTCTCCTCCATGAACTTTACTTACTCTCCTTCTTCCTACTTTCCTGTTAGGAAAGATAGATTTCTACACTCAACTGATTGTGCATATTATTCCCTCTTTGAGCCAATGCTGATGAGATTAAGGTTCAAATGGTGCCCATCACCCACCCTTCCATCTTCCCCTGCACTATAATAGGTCTTTCATGCCTCTTCATGTGAGATAATTTTAAGGAGTTGTTTTTCTCAGTTGACTTTTGTATTTACTTTTCCATATGGACAATTGTATTTTTTAGGGAGTTGTTTTCTTCAGTGGATTTTTGTATCTCCTTTTCTATTTGACCAATTTTACTTTTTAAATGGTTGTTTTCTTTTTCCAAGCTGTTGACTTTTTTTCATAATTCTTTTGCATTACTCTCATTTCTTTTCCCAATTTTTTTCCTACCTCTCTTATATGAATTTTAAGCTCCTTTTGAGATCTTCCATGAATTAGAGCTTGAGACCACCTCCCATCTTTCTTTGGGGTTTTACCCATAGGTGTTTTGACATTATTGTCCTCTTCTGAGTTTTTGTATTGGTCTTCCTTATCAACATAATAACTTTATGTGGTCAGATTATGTTTGTTTTTTGCTCATCTTTTTTTTTTTGGTCTTTTCCCTTTCTTTTAAATTTGAGCCCTGCTGTGTTTCCTATTTCCTGCCTGTTCAAAAAGAATAAGAAAGAAGTTCAGTGGAATGTGTTAGATAGGAAAGAATCAGAAAAAAAATTTATCTTGATAACCCAGAATTTGATAAACCCAAAAACATAAGTAAGGAGTCTCCTTACCTGACAAGAATTGGTAGGAATACTGGAATTCAGTTTGGTTGAAATAAGGTTTAAACCAACAGTTCATATTCCACAATAAGCTCAACAGAATAAACTCAATTCATATGTTACCTAAGTATTAATGATCACACTAT